ATAATATATATCTATATATATAAGATAAATTTTTTCATTACGAGAAACGTAGCGTTTATATTAATGTGTATAAAATGAAATTTTGCATTTGTCATCATAAAGAATTGCGAACAGAATTTATATGAAAAGGTGGCATCAACGTTATACTCGTCTCGACGTCGCGCCGTTGAGACGTTGCTCGAAGACAAAATTATTAAAGTTCACCGTATACACATTTATCTTCTGTCCCCGATGTTTGCGACGCGCTCGCGCTCGCTCCTTCCGGCAAATACGGTCCCGGTCCGTCGAAACTGATGAAAAGCGACGACTTGTTTACCCCCCCGTCCGCCCGTTGACTTCCGGGATACACAGGGACGAAAAAAGTTCTCGTCGAGGGTAGGAGAAGCAGGCCGTGCCGCGTGTACTCAAGACGGCTTCCACAAGGAATCTTTTATTTCAAGGCTAGAAAGTTTCGCGTGGATCTTCCGCGACGCGCCACAACCTCCTCCTCCTCCTCCCCCGTCCCCGTTCCTTCGTCCGAACGCCTGAAACGAGCATCCGCCATTGAGGATGTTTGCGTTCAGAAGCGAAGGGTCGGATTCGACCGGGAGAGAGTTGTCGCGTTGATTGTTGAAAGAACGCGAAATTGAATTCCTTTTGGATATATCGTCGATGGGGAGTGGGGCCGGTCCCCCGGGTTATGTTGGTTTTTCCCTCGGAGATAGTATCTCGCGAGATGTGTGGATACAGGAAGAAACGTTCGCCGGATGTTTGAGAAACAGTTCCTCCCGAGGATCGTTTGCAATTTATGAGCCTCGAGAGATACTCGATATTATTGGGTAAATATGCTTAAGAGGCAGATTTTTAACAGCGCCGTTTGCCCGTTATCGTAAACATTTTAACATTGATGGTTTGATTAAGACATTCTCGAAGCTCGTGATCTATTCGCGTTATTGAAGAGCAGCTGAACGTTTGTTCGGCAGGACATGGTCATTTTTGACACCGTCTTTTGACTTCATTCGAGGCTACTCGGTGATAATGAAATCCTAAACGAGACGAACTTGCCCCAAGCAGGTAAAAATAGAGAAGGCAGTTCGCGTTGGTCGGAACTCCAGGCGTTCTTAGGACAATCATTAATTAGATACGCCATGGAACGAGAATGGAAGAGGAAGCTGGTCAGATGCGGAGGCGAGACGAGCGTATTTGGTGTTGCTGGAGTAGCAACGGCAGTGATTCGTCGACGACAGAAGTGAAGAAAGAACGAAGAGAGAGAGAGAGAGAGAGAGAGAAAAGGAGCGGCGTCTCGCTTTGAAAATAAATCGGAGGAGTAGGGCTGCATCCTCGGCCGGAAATGAGGCTTGCCAAGTACAATCTCCGGTCAGGGAGGGCCTCTCCATTTTGTTCTTTGTGATGTGTCGGCCATAATTGAAAATGTCCGCGCGGACTCGAGAGACTTTGCACCGCGCCGCTTCCCTTTCTTCGTGCAAACTCCGTCGCTCCGTGTCTCGCTCTTTCTTCCCCCCTTTCCTCGCGCGCTCGGGGTCGCGTTATTATTGTCAAGGGACACAATGGCCCCGCGAACGGTCACAATCGAGGGAAACTCTCGCATTTAGGCCGCGGGCTCCGCGGTTCGCTGCCGCTCTATGCAAATGCCTTGCCCGCGACCATGCCCGAATTGCCCCTTGTTGCCAGAAAGAACCCGGCCCCTTCTTCTCGCTGCCGATTATTCAAACCCCGACCAGATGCTTGTTGCTCGCGAACAGCTTAACTTTGCTACCGTTTAGTTTTAATCATGTAAGTTGTCCTACTGACGCTGTAATATTCATTCTGAAAACGCGTGAAACATTAGTGTAGACGGATGAGGCAGCTAGTACGTAAAGAACGTCGGTTTCGATCTACGAGCTCGTGTAAAAATGTGCATTGAGATCACGTTTGTAACGCAAGAGAATATATTTTATACTGGATCGTTCCTTTATCGATGTTGACGACGGGCCAATCGGCCATTAAGTATATCCCGTCTGTCGACCGCGACAGAAAGAAACCGGCAGGCAATCAATCTTCCGTGAGTCGAAGCCTCGAAGGAACACTCGCTTCGTATCGAGCGTGCAAAGAAAATGGCATGGGTCGAGATCTCGACGCAAGAAATCGGGCATCTCGAAATATCGACTGGGCAACGGTTTCATCGTTGATCAGAAACAGGGGAGCGAGTTTCTTGCGCGGCTGACTGAGTGCATTACGCGGTTTTCGTCGCTAGGCGTGTCTCTTATTTATCCGAGGGCTCATGGATCTTCTTCTTGTTTGGTTCCAGGTAGCAGCGAGGAATCGAGACCTGGCGGCGGTGATCCTGGAAAGTTGGGGGTGAAGAAAGCGAGACCGAAGGCTTCGTCGCCCAACCGACAGGGACCACAGCAGTGCCAAGTAAGAAACTTAAATCTATCGTTTGTCGACGAATGAATTCCGTGTGAATAACAATTGAGTATTGAACGAGTAAATTACATGCGAGGAAAACATGGATCGTTCGCAAGTAACGAAAAACCTGTTACGAAAGATATCGTTATAAATTCTAGAGATCTGAATAATCCGATCTTAAATTTAGGGACAGATCATGCGAAGACTATTAGACTCCACACTGCTGGCAAGCGCGTTGGCTAGGTTACAGATTCTGTTAAACGGATCACAGTAAAATTAAAGCACAGTCCTAGAACGTTGTACGTCGATTCGAAGGTGGTTGTCTGAGAGGGAAATGCAAGGGTAAGATCGTGGTCGCGTCTCAGGTATAAAACTTATCATCCTGCGGTAGCGTTAACGTGACACGAGGTGACGAGAGGAACGACGATTGGCAACAGACTTTAAACGTCAAAGTCGAATCGACAGGGTCGCGATCAGCGTCCCCGATGACGTTCGTTTCACAATTTTATTAACTCACTGGAGCCGCAAAGAGGATTTCGCGGTGAAATCACGGGGCCGGGCACGAGCATAGTTCATTAACGACGCACGCTGACGATCGAGTTAGAGAGGTCGATCGATGGCAAACGAAGCGTGTCCGCGGAACCACGAGTCCGCAAAATACATGCGGCCTCTTTATTCTCTCTCGTTTCGCGTTTTTACTCCGCCATTGTCCCAGCTTGCTCTCCTCTTTTTATCGTCCTTATTTCCCTTGGTATTGTACCGTTCATTTGTTTTTTTCTTCCTCTCTGTTTTTTCCGTTTATCTACGATTCTTCCCTAGTATAGCACGTGGATGCACTCCTCGCGTTCTGCGACGATGTTCCCTTGTTCTTTTGTTCACCGCGAATTTTAGTATTGACGCATTTTGTAATGCATATATTTCTCGTGGTTTTTTTACTACACGTATTTTGTTTACACGCGCCCCTCTTGAAAATATTCTGCGGAATATGTTGAGATTTTAAAATGAGATGAATGCTCTAGTTTATAATTGGTACAGAGCTTTTAGAATCCTGCTTAGCGAAATAATGATGCAAATCTGGCTCGTGATTTCTTTTATCAAGAAATTAATGTTGTATTGTAAAAACAAGAATTGAATTTATGTCTCCTTTATTTGCCGTATAAAATTTTAACAAACAAAAGTATTACGTTCCATTATTCGATGATAAAAAGGAAAAATGTTTCGAGTTTTCCGTTTTGTTTACTTGCTAATTGCTCGTACATCCATCTGTCTTGCTACGTTTCGTGAGCGAAACACAATTGTAGCTCGTTTCGAGAGCATGCATATACGTATCCGTGTTACAACCGAATTAGGCCAAAAGTCCAAGGCCAGCCCGGTGCGATCTACTTCGTTAGTCGCGTCCGGTTTAATTTCTATTCCCAGTTTGCGAACAAAGTCAAGAGAAAATATTGGAACGAGTCCTCTCGATCTGCAATTCAGTTCTATTTATTGCCTCCGACTGTAATCAATATAAGACAATAAAAATTCTGCCTCCGTTATTGATTCACGTCCGGTTTATTTCGCATTCTGTTCCGTGCGTTGATCAACGTGTACCTTTCAACTTCGCATGAATTTATTGACAGTATCATTAACGAGCACGTTACAGTGAATAAATAATAGTGAAAGTTACGAACATATCCTAAATATAAACGTCGAATTTATAAGATTTTTATTTAACGATCTCAATTAAATAAATCAGAAAGTTACCAAAATTTTAGCCTCTCGCTCATTAAATCAAAACTAATTGTCGAGAAAGCGGTAACGCAATTACACTTGTTTGCATTCCCGAATTGCGCGCAATATAAATCGTTAATTGAATGTTTCAGTTAGACGTGGCCGGCTTTAGAACAAATATTGATACGACTACGGTACCGCGTAACGTTCTCTGTTAATTTGCGTCATTGTTAATTTTTTCCATGTTAATAATTTATATCGCGACGAACGTAAATTCATTTTCGAGTACGACCAGAACAGCATTTCTTCTAATTCCTTTAAATGAAAGATATTCAAAATGATAAATTTTAAGACAAGACATTATTAATGTTTTTGATTTTTTGAGTTGGCAACGGTTCTGAAATTTTTATACAAATTTCAAACGATAGAATATTAACTTTTTTTACCAAACCCGTCGGTAGTATTGGAAAAACCATCGCGACCATTACAATTTGGATCCACTGTTAAAAAATTCGAGGCAGCAGATTTTTCCGAAATAACTTGAAGTTCTACTGTGTATGGTTCAGTCTCGTTGTTCCGGTAGATCGTAACGCAGTGCACGCGTGCATGCGTGACCCAGATCGTCGGAGAACGACGGAAACACCCGTGCTTCCATCGATACCGGACTGTTTATGCAGCCGAGCTTGCGGCAGCGGCCGATCCGCTCTTTGCGCGCGCGAGCATGCACGATCACGATCACGTTGCACCAATACGTACCGTGTAACGCGGACGGAGGCTGTTGAATATTCAGGCAGCGCGCGAACCTCGAGCAGCCACGTGAAACACACACCCCGAGCATCGTCGAGCATAACACGCGAACGCGATATTCTCTCTTCGTGTAACCAGACGCCCCGGCGGTTACGTCGAGGACCATTTAAGGCACTGTTTTTGCTTTTTGTCTTTGCGCGCTGCGCTTGAGTTACGTTACTCGGCTGTTATCCTCCCCTTTTCTATGAGTGGAGGGTGCCGTTGCGAGAGATGATACCGTGTAATTTTGGGTAATTGCGAGAGGGTGAATTTTTATTGGAGGAGCTTTTAACTGGAACACTTAACTGCGAGTTTAAAGAATCGTATCTGTCACGAGTTCAAGTATGAAATCAAATTAAATCCTTAGTTTTATTTGAATTTAAAACGGCGCATGTCTAAGCCTTTTATGCAAAATTGATAACCACACAGGTACGAGTTCTGTCCTTCGTTATTTTCCGCCGAGTGTCTTCGTCTCGGTTCGTCGACTTTGATAGCTTCGGGAAGGAGCCGCGAATTACGGGTTGCCTTGTTACGTAATTAAATGACGGCCCGGCTGACTTGTTGACAAGGCCCGTCGATGTATCGAGTTAGCGACGAATTAAGCCGGTCCTCTCGGCTCCCCACGGCTCGATTATAGCTCGGATATCGGAACGGTGGATCCATCGAGGAGAACCGAGACAGGGCCAACCCCAAGTGGCCAAGTAGCCTCGGCCTGATGCTTCTCAAGACGTTGCCCGTCTCGTTTCCTCGTTAATTTTACGGGAAATTAATAGTTATTCGTTGCACGGTGATCGTGAGAACCGGGCCGACGCCCGTCTTCTTAAATTATCGGCAACTCGTCATTCAGTGTTTGATACTTTTAATCGATGGTCGCCACCCCCCGATCTCATCTACAATACCGCTTCTTTTAAAATAGCTTTCTCTTGAATTTAACAGAAAAGATATCGAATCACAGGATAATGGATTTGAGAAATAATTTGTTCATAATCGAATCGTTAAAATGATTTCAAAAGAACAATGATTGTCGCGTGATTGTACCCGTGGCTGTCTTTCCACGTATTGCACGCGCGTGTACAATAGTCGATTCCCGGTAATCTGAAAGCGTGGAACACCGAGCACAACAGAGGGTAAACCGATTGAACCGAGAGAAATCTGATGGCATTCCTTCTCCCAGCTCTCCACCTTCGTTCTCTGCGTGTCGTCGAGCATTTCCCTCTTTTTCCTCGTGATGCACGAAACACACGCACATACACACGGGCCCTGAATCCAATAACATCGTGGAAGGGTTTCGAGAGTCGTTGACCTCGTCTTCCGATTATCCTCTCGCGATTCGAGCACGCGGAATCGAAACTCTCCGAAGCTGGCACACAAAACATGTTAGTCGACAATCGACCGATAAGCGTGCAGCTCTTTCACCGGTCGTAGCTACGATCGATCCGTTCTCCAAATTACGAGTGCTTCGACCGTGTACCGTCCTATTTAAACTTAATTAATCGATGATCGCCGATAGAATACGCTTGTACATAAAAGTTATAAGAATTATTATTGGAATTTGTTGAAACGAATGTCCATACAAAAACAACAGGTTTGATCGCATAATTTCCATGACAAAAACAAGACCAGCGAATCCCAGTCCATCCCATTAATATCACGTCCATCGAGATAGAAATTCCTTCGCCGGTAATTCCATATTGAAAACGAGCTCGGAACGTGGCTCGGGTCACGATTGTCGTTAGTTCACAATGAGGTAGGTTCGAGTAACGTCGCGACGACGACGACGACGTATTTCATTCCGCGAGTCGTCGTCGTCGTCATCGCGAATAATATTCCATCGCCGCGGCTCACTTTTGTGTCCCATCCAACGGCGCTGGCGGAGACTAGGCTCGCTCATTATTTACGGCGGCGCGAGTCCCTCGTCTACCTGCCGGTAATAAGATGCTCTTCTTTAGAAGACCTCGCCTCGCTCCCTCCCGTCCCGGAAGCAACAAATTGCATCGCTCGGCCGCCTCCTCCGTGGCTCGCGGCGCCGTTTTCAGGTTTGCCGGGTTCCTCGTCGAGATGGTCGTGGTTAACCGGAACAAACGTTAACCGGATAGAAGCGTGGATGCGTTTCACGCGACACGGAATTAACGACGTAAACTCCAATGCAGTGGACGTGGCGATGTTCGCGGCTACATTGTTGCGTTTTTTTTTTTTTTTTTGGTCTGCGTTTTTTGCGACGAGGCTGGTGCTGGTTTGGTTAGGACGGTTTCCCTTGGAAATGGAAAGGGCGACGGGGTGGGCGAGGAGCTGGGGGTTAGTTGAACATGCAAGGAGATGAGGTTTCGGGGCGGCTCGGGCGGAGGATTTTTTTGGTACGGGCATGTCAGTTTGTTCGAAATGGAAATCGGTGATGGAATCGGTGTGCTTAACGTGGCCGAAATTTTGGCAGGTTCGCGTAAAACTTTGCGGTGCTGAAATTGCTTTTTAAAAGGAATCCGAAAATACGTGACTGTAATCTCGATAGTCGCTGGTAAAATGTAAAGTCTGACAATAGCAGGGAGATATACGAACGTGGTCACGTGTTGTTATTTTAATTACGCCTGACTCGAGAATGAGTTCGGTAGTTCAATGCTAGGAAAAAAGGGAACGATACGTACGCGTCAACCGCGGACTAAATAAATCCCAGAGGGTGTTCGGACCCCCGTTTCCCATTTCGCGAGGCGGAGAACAAACGTTAAACCGAATGGACCAGCAGACGCTGCGGCTCTCAGACCACGAATCACCGGTTCCCGTGCCATCGTCTAACTTCATCCATCGATCCTCCCCACGCGTCGCCCCTCGGCCAGAGCCACGGAGCTTCGCCCCTAACGAAGTATCAATGTTACCACGGACGGATTACGTATTCAGGAGCGGCGCTGCTCGGTGTACATTGGCGGGTTTGGCAGCGCGGACACGAAGAGAGCGCCCGGGCACTGCTGCAGACGTGCACGGTTGATACGGAGAAGAGCCGGAGAAGATAACGGGGGTGGAGGCCGAGTGGTGTGGCTGCTGCTGGTGGCGGCAGAGAGGGATCCAGAAAGGCCAGGAGTAATGATGTTTGTTTAGCTCTCGAGCAAGGACCGTTACCGGGGCTGGAAGATACGGGTTTTGGCACGAAGATGATGGCTAAGGGATGGAACGACCAGCGCCGGTGTGTCGAGGCTCTGTTGAAATCCACGTCTCACACCATTCTTCTTGCCTTCGCACTCGCCGCTATCGGTACCTTGCACTTCTCCTCGCCGGATGACGCGCTGCTGCGCCGATTCCTCTCGATCCTTCGTATATTGAAACTCCCGTGTGGACTCGGTGCACATCCTTAGCAGTCCGGCTACGCAAATTAAATTTCCTGCTCAGGGAATCCTAGTACGATTTCCTCGGCCTTCCCGTTTCAATTTCTCACGTTTCCCGATCTACTTTTTTTTTGTATTCGTATTTAATGAGAAGCGAAGTGAGGAAAATTAGAGAAATTAATTAATCGTTTCGTAAGAGAATGATAGACGCTTAATAAGAGATCTATCAGATCGTATTTTAATTAAAATTGTACATACGACGGCGCAGGTTACGGTTAATTTTGCTATCTATTAACCTAAATTACAGTGGACCGAGTGCAAGGCAAAAGAAAAAGTAGCAGCGGAAAGAGTTACGAGCGGTAGTTTTGTTTTATCTCGAATAATAAACTTCTCCTTTTGATAAGGCCACACTTTACGCCCGCTGCGGTGGTTTATTTAAATTACAAGTGACCTTAATAACCGCTCTTACACTAAAAGATTTTGCATGAATCCCATTAAAAGATAGCGTGCAAGTTTTCGTTCATTGCTTAATCTCTTAGTATATGGCTGTTAAAATACAGTAGAAATTAAGTATATTTTTGTGACGTATTTTCATAAGGAAAATTATGATATGAAATAAGTATACTCGTGATAAAATTAATATTCATTTGAAACGATAACCCCCTCCCACCTCCCAGACATCAGGTGTTTCGAGCAAACGTTGATAAATCAAGTTTTCACTTAAAATTATTATTCGCACTCTGAATTTTCCCCCGATAAAAAAGAAACACACGAATCGTATAATGAGAGGGATCATATTGTACTCAATGCCTCGTGAGGTATGATGGATGCGTAGTTTCCCTCACCGAGAAGAGATACCGCTGGATGATGAATCGCTGTGAAAAAAAAAAAGGAGCTGGCGAGAGTAAAGAACGGGGGAAGGAATTCATAAGCCACGTGAGATACGTATATTTTCGTGCGAGTATCGAAATTCTCTGTTCTCTCGGCTCACGGGAAACCGGTAAATATCACGGCTGAAATATCAGCGATCGCTGAGTCGACAGTTTATCCTTTCTTCTCCGTTCCATTAGGAAAACGGAAGTTTCCGGGCGTCGCGGGCGGGGCGTGCCAGGGGAAAGTTGAGCCCGGTCGGAAAGGCGAGGGAAATTTCCGCGGACGAGTACGACTTATTCGCGTTCGTCGTCGATGCCGGAGGCTCGATCCAGGAAACCCGATGAAAATAACAGGCGAAACGAAAAGTGGAGAGAAGTTTTCCGATAATGGAAGCCGAGGGATCGCGGATCCCCCGGCTAGCGTCGCCACGTGTTTGGTCGCAGCTGCATTCGAAATTAATTTCAACTTAACGACGCCGCCGACTCGGCCAGCACCGACCGGATTCCCGATGCGTTACGAGCTTTTGATGCCGCGTTGCTTTATCGAGTAAAAATTGTAAATTGCTCGAAGATTGTGCAGAAAACATTCAGCTAATTTGAACTCCGTGATTGTTTTTAAATATGTTATGGTGAATGAGTGGGATTGAAATAAACAGATAGTAATATGATAAAATTTATTTGTCAGTCTAGGTATACAGAAATCTCGCTCGTCGACAAAAACACGAAAATTGAATAAATTTTCTCATTCTAAAAAATGCTGACACACTTGAATACTCATATCATCGGTTCAGTCACAATCGCAATCGCAAAATATCTGTTCCATAGCGAATCGAAATTGCAAAATGTTACCCGGTGGAACTGGAACGGTGAAACTTATTAGAAACGCTACTCGTTCCACGGTCGCGGAATTTCGCACAATATTCGACGACAAGCAAATTCGACGCCTATTCTTGCCGGGCCGCGTGGGACTTTCGAATGGAGCAGCAGCTAACGTCCGTGCGCGTGGGCCCTCGGCCTTTGGCTTCCTGAAATAGTTGCCGAAATAGTATACGTCCCTGAGCGAGTAATAAACCCAATTCCACATACTTAACAGGCATACCATCCCTCGACCGCGTCTTCGGCCTCCGCTCCCCTGTTTAACGCGTGAAATGCCGTGCTGACGTCTCGCATTAATTAGGAATTTTATAGCAGCGACTATTTTATTTATTAACATAGAATTTCGTTCGACGTAATTATCTTCGAGCAAGAGATTATTAATAGACTGTGTTTCGATTTAATTCTTCTAATTGATAAATAGAAAATATCACAGAAGGACTCGAAGTATGTATTCATTATTTATTTCACTCTACGCCAATTCTTAATTACATTCGTTTATTTTATCAGCGAATTCCAACGGGACAATTATTTGGTACAATTACTAGTTGGCATTAAAAGAGTAGGTTGACGATGTACAGCAGATTAGGAAGGGTGAGACCGCCCGGGCGCAGTAAACGGAAACGTGGAAACGGTCCATTCACCGGCGGTGGCGCAACGATATCTTTATTGGCGTTCTAATGTCCGTCGTAAAACGTGTCCGGCTTTACGACGGCCACGCGTGGTAAATTGAAAACCGTGTCCGGCCTCGTTCCGTTTCACGTGCTCGTAATGAACCGTTCGGAATGCGCGACGGCCCGCGGCGAATTGCGAACACTCGCCTCTCGCGATTAGTCGTCTATTAAACGTATCCACCCTCGAATGAAAATCGTTACCGGTTTCATCGACTAGCTCTGACAGTGTCGTTCGAAAGAATGTTATAAACGTAAAATCATCCGTCTTGTCGCATGGAAGACGTTACGTGTTAGAATTATGAACGAATCGTGCAGAAAAACTGGAGTCATTAAAATATATTTACGTACGTATTGTAAATTCTATCACGAGACACTACGTTGCATTTTTCATATTCGAGATTTTTTTTTTAATATTACGGGTAAAGCGACGTTGCTGAAAATAGGTGGAGAGGATAGAAACGTGACCGTGCATATTTGTTCTGCGGTGTAAAAAAAATCGCTGGTAGCCGAGTGTATTTTTGGAGGACGCAGTCATTAATGGATGCTAGGTAACGTGCGTGCGTAATGCGTGTGTTGCTGGGCTGTCTACGTCAAGCACATTCGCATCGTTGGCAGTAACATGTGTCAAATGTTAGCCGGCGTCGAAAGTGTGTACGCCGGAATGCTAATGGCCAAATATAGGTTTGCTGAAATTGCGTTTTGCCGGCAACACCGAATTTACATTTTGTGAAAAGTCATTCCGTCGTCGCATTTTTTTTCGTGTCGTCCACGGAACTCGAAAATCGCATCACCCGACGGAAAATGCTCTATCTCTGTACGCTATCTGTCTGAGAGGACACCGCGAAACGAATAGTCAGTATAGCTGCGGGAAGAAATCATTTCCCCAAATGCTGAAAAGCTTGTAGGTAACTGCAAGTCGCGGAGGCCATAAATAACCAATTAAGCCGACTGTCGAGGTTAGCGGCATCAGCAGAAAGACGCGCTGACACGTTGCACTGGTTCTGTCTGCAGGTCTGCGGGAAGGTGTTTAACAACGCATCGGCGCTCACGAAGCACAAGCTGACGCACAGCGACGAGAGGAAATACGTGTGCACGATGTGCGGGAAGGCGTTCAAGCGGCAGGACCACTTGTGAGTACAGATTCACGCGCGATTCAACCCCTGACCCACCCCCGTCCCCCTTTTTCCGCCTCGATTAACCCGTGCTCCGCCGCTCTGTCTCTCGATCCGCCTGTCCGCACCTTTTAATTACCACAAATACCAATTTTTCCACCGCGTTTCTTTTTCGTCATCGCTGGAAACGAGAGGTGCTCATATTCGTCAATGGCGAATGATCCTCCGAAATGAACACTTTGATCCAAGTACTTTTTGTTTATGCTCGTCGAAGACAGACAGTTTTTCTGAATAGAAAGCTTACAGCATGCACAGTATTCATTAATCCATGGCATTCTCTAATTCTTAACGATGAGTTTTGAAATCTTTAAGAATTGATCAAAATTATGATACAAAATTTATGTCGAAACACCTCGAAGAAAAATAATTGTTCGTGTCTTTAAATGAACGATGTGTCGATAAGGCGACGGAGGTTTGATCCATGGATTCGAAGATTCAATTCGCCTGGAGCATCGGAGAAGGGAATAAGGGTGAATCAATAGTGGTCGCAAGCTTTGGTCAGACTCGCTGGCCGGTCGACTGGAGCTAGACTCGTATTTCGTTTTCGCGGACGAATCCTCTCTTCGCTTGCTCGACCGATTCTTCTTCGATCGGTATTCGCCATCGCGCCGCGCTTCCACTTCGGCCAGTAGTTTTCCTTTCTGACAAGTTCCCTCGCAGCCCCTTCTCGTCACGTTCTCCTTGGCTTTGCGGTATTACTCGCGATTCCTTGAATGCTTTGTCAGGAACTTATTGATACCGCGCAATACCGTTGCTACTCGTGTCCGGGATTTATATTGACCCAGCCGCGGGCCAGTTTTTAGAGAAACCTGGCTCAATTTAATTGAGCAATCGATACGACCACGTGTATGTTCGCATATTTTCAATGCACGTCAGATTTTATCGAATAAAATATGAATGCAAGAGTACACTGCTAATAATACAATTGACGTTTGAGAGCTATTCACATTTTTACCATTGTATCCGATACGTATTAACATTTATGTCATCTTGTAATCGCATTAGTCTCGTATTTCCCCTTACGCAGCTCGAGCCAAGCACATTACTTGCGCAGCGATCATTAGCTTCTATTTTATGAGATTCCGTTCGCTCTGCTTTATAATGCTCTCTGTCTCTTTCGGTGCTCTCCCTCTCTCTCTCTCTCTCTCTCTCTCTCTCTCTCTTTTCCTTTTCTTTGCCTGCGCGTAGACATCATACCCTTTAGCGATTCAACCAGCCGTGGAAATACCGTTCCGTGAAATTTTTCTAAAGACTTTCTTCGAATCCTCCAAGGTATTCTAGCAATATATTCCCTTCCCGCTTGTGACGTTTCGTTCCTTCTCGAGATTCTCTCGGATAATTTCGTGGAAATTGTTCAATAAGCGTTTTTTATACAATATACTAGACGGTATTGATGCACTGATTGATCATGCGTCAATTATATGTTTTCGAATCGAAAGACGTGATCGACTCAGCGTGGTCGAATAATTGTTTCTTTATTATTTAAGTAACAATATTGTCCTAACGAATAGCTAGAGCGATGATCAGCCACTTTTTATTGGACTGTTCAACACGAAAAATCTTTGGAAGCGTTGAAAAATTTGTCGTTCCCAGTTGGAAACCGCCGCAATCCTCTTTTGTGCGCCGTACTACGTGCGCTGGGTTCGGTTCCGAGCCCGTGCCGTATTTTTCTTTTCCTCGACCTTTCCGCCACGTTGAGTCGCCTTCATTTTATGTACGTATTTCATTCGATAGGGTCGACACCACGTTCAATGCGAGCTGACGAACGACCCGAGGAATTACTTTCGTTTCATCTCTGCTTTCTCGTCCTCCTTTTTTCTTCTCCTTTATTCGGGTTCACTTTCTCGTTGATTGTTCCTTTTCGATTTTCTGCCTGAGTCAATTCTTTCAGAATTCATTAAGCGTGTTCTAGTTTGAATTCTCGTAACGAGTCGTCTGTTATTGCTACGGAGTCGAAGAATGTTGATCATGTGTATTTTAGAACCGTCGAATATTCTAATTTCAAATTGTTCGTGTTATTCTTTGACAGTCTTCTTAGAATTCCCTGTTCCCATTAGAGGTGCTAAAGAGAAGTTCTCCAAATAGATTCTCGTCATTCTGACAACGTCGTCAAAAGTTTCGAAGTGGTAGAACCATCGACGATCGTTGAAGGCTCAGCGTATGTCAAAAAACATTGTTGTCCGGTGCATGCGGGCATTCCATTTGGCCGTCGTCCATAAAATGTCCCCAAATCGGTTACTTGGAAACTCGTTCCGAGGACAGCATATGCCGGGATTCGTGTAAACGATGTGGACGACTTTATCCGATCAGCGAAAAAGTCCTTGGCCTGTTTCCTGTTTTTATTGTAATCCTTTTAACCCCCGGATGCCGCGCGGCAGCCAGGCAACTTAAATACTCGAGCCCGTACGTAGAAGGAGTCGTAAAGAATTGTGTTTTCCTCCCCACGAATCCTTTTAAACTTAGCTCGGCCACGATTCCGGCTTCAGAAATGACTGAGATCCTGCGGTACCGAGAATCGTATTCTTTATTGATAAGACCGACGCTAAACCGCTTTGAAGAATCGTCGTTAAACCACAGTTTCATCGCCAGTCTCTTTCAGTATTTGTTTTATAATATTTTAGGAGAATAGTAAAAATTGATGGGACGCGGCCAAAAATTCAAACGGTTTTATTACCTCCAGCGAATTTCCCATTGATTTCCTTCGATCTCGCCAATAAGAAATTAATGCTGCGTACACAATCCAGATTTTGTTCCCGCGGTTTAATTAATTTTTATCGAAGCTCGTGAAATTTTAAGTTCCTCCGGCATAATCTATAATTAGGATTAATATTGCCGATGCGGGGAGAAAATGGATTTATAATAATTAAAAAAAGCTTGTAAGCCTTTGTGAAAGTTATTTTCAGTTTCTTTACGCGAGTAACGAGTCTTAATGAAGCGAGCGACATAAAATCTTATACACAATTTTATTTTTACTCATACAGTAGATAACTTGCGATAAAACTTTTTTTTTATAAACGCGTCAACTTCGACGAGCAAAAATATCTAATTGCTCGTTGCTGAACTAACAGTTTTTCTCTCGATACGTCCATAGACCATTGTGTATAAAAAAGGAGCGTAATTAGTCTTGAACACTTTTGAGGGAAGTTTTAATTTGTGTTCATCGGTTGGAAAATTCTTGTAAGGAAGAAAGTGTTAGCTTGCTTATTTTTATTTCAAAGAATATTTCAGCCAAGTGGGTATAATATCGTAACGGGTTGCGACTGAAATACTTCTTTGAAGTTGCTCGCCTTTCGAGTATTTAACGAGGGATTGTCTTGGAACGGACCCACGGTAAGAGGCTCCCGTTGCATGAAGAAAATCGACTAATTAATTAAACGACAAAGGAAATTCCCCTCCCTCTTACTTTCTTTCACTATTGAGTTATCTTCATTTTCATAAATCTTGTTCGCAAAATCTTTGATTCTTTCGTCTTTAAATTAATTAGAATCACAATCATAAATGAGGCATCTTTTATTACAAAATATTAATTATTGAACGATTAATTAATAGTACACGAATTTTATGTTATGAATTATCTATAATTTCTCTTGTCATTAAAACTCTCCACGCTGCCTACAACTATCGTCAGCGATAAAAGCGCAAGGGATGGTATAAGTATCCTCGGATAAACGTAATTAGGGCTTGTTCGCTCCCGATGGAAGTTCGATAGCTGATCAGTAAATAGAAACAACGTCCTCATGATCGATCGAGTGTAATTTAATTCTGTTTGCGCAAAGTAATAAGCGTCGAATTACACCTTCCGCCGCTATTTTCTGATACCCTTCACTTTTTTCTTCTCTCTCCTCATCTCATTTATATAATGGAGAGTGAAAAGCGGCTTCTCGATCCTGTAACACGTTCATATAGTAATCAGGAAATTTTCGAACGATAGGAACGCCTTTCCTCTCCAATTAATCCCCCGTTTTAGTCAATATAAATATACGTAGTTCGTTCCGGTGGTCTCATCGAATAATAACATAGGTGAGTGGGCTTTGTACGGTTTTATTGAATAATTATGGTACAATTTGAATACAGATTATTGTAAAAAACATGGGAGAGGAGAGTATTATCGTTTGATTTCGAACGTGAATAGTGTATACAATAGAAGAAAAGAATCTCCGGGTACTTAACCTGCTTCCTGTTATCCCTCGAAAGCCTCTTATTTCGCGGATGCTCCGTAAAATTTGCACGGAATTCGTTGTTCCACGCAGCCGGTAATTAAACGAACAAAAGGAATTATAAAAGGACAACACAGAACAGTCGGCTTCCTTCGCTTCCTAGCCGAGTTTCGTGCAACCGCGATTGTTCTCCACCTTTGCGCATTTTTTTATGCATCCGTTGCTCGCATCGCTGCTTTCCGGGCAAGAAAATTCCTGCCGAAATGTTTAACCCCTTGGTTGTAACGAATGGTAAAGAACATTTGCTACGTCAACTATTAGAAGTTTCTTCTAAAATCATTAGTCGATTAATCGACATCGTGAGCGAGCTACTACTGTTCTTTCTTATACTGTGTCTCACCTCCTCCCGAGATTTTTATTCTGTAAAGGCACACTTCCACCCTCGGTCCAGCGAGCATAACCCCCTATGGCTGCTTCCGGTTCACCCCTTTCTCGCGAGCGGTTCCGCCATTGTAAGTTCCACGGTGTATTTCTGTTATCGAAGTAAATCCACGTAGTCTTTTCCTCCGTTCGAACGGCGACGGTGCCGCTTGAAATAAGGAAGGACGAAAGGAAGCGCTTATACCTCGAGAGGTATTCTCTTCGAGAGCTCTTTTCCGGGAGCCAGTCTCTGTGTATATAATGTACGAAGAGAGAAAAGTATATAAATGTATACATATATATATATATAAAAGTATATATAGAAGTTGAGGTGGAGGCGGTGTACGAAGGGCAGCCGCGTTCTCTTCGTCCAAAAGGGATTTGCGACATCTTCGTGGCGGAGAATGGGATGGTACGGAGAGAGGAGAGGAGCGGGATTCAGAAAGAGTCGTTCCCGATGCAGCCAGCGGGAGAGAGCTCCAGTCGTTTTCTTCGGTCTTCCGCTTGTAAAGAGGGCTTGCTTTCCCACCTCGATATCGCCGATACCCCCTTTGTTCATCGGCTTCCGCCTCGTCCGCCTCGCATTAAGGATGCTCTGACCCCGTGAAATGAAAGAAAATAGAGCGCAGCCAAACGGCCTCTTCGAAGCCGGTGCCGTGGCTCTCTGGTCGGACCCACGCTGCTGGAATTAATGGGGAGTTGATAATTGGCGCAAATTTAATCTTCGCCCGTGACAGCTGGGTCGCTTACACGGGAGACGTTCTCGCGTGGAAAATTTCGTTAAGCATTCCGACAGAAGTTCTTGTGAACTTAGAAAAATAAAATTCGTTGGCTGAAGCATTCGGTTATTCTTATTATTACTTGTTGCTCGGATACTCAGTGTTTGCGCTCTTCATAGTGGACGTAGCTTATCCTCTGATTATAGACGGGCTCTTCCGGCTTCGGTGTAACCGTATTTTAATGTCGCGTTTTATACACAGCGAGAATAAGCCGCCATAAAAGCTCCTCTGTTTTCATTGCTGAGTTGATTCTCGTGTTTGCATCGGGAAGCTCGCCGCGAGTAGAATTTCTTTTAAGCACGGCTCGCTTTTAAAGGTAAATTTTGACGTGTCGCGTACGTTAACGTGAATCGTCAAATTTATTATCTTCGAAAAGAACACGGAAATAGTCGTTCTAATTTCGGTACGAAAGAGGATGAAGGATTTCGCGCTCTGCACCAATTATTCAGGAACACCATTAGCCTGGAAATGGTCGACGATCGATCCTGCCTTAGAAATATATTTTCATCGTGATCTTTTAAAAGGTATGTCTTCGCGTTATTAAAGAAAAGATGGATCCCGTTTCTCTTTTGTTCTTCGAATAACGAAGTTTTCTTTCCTCGCTTCGGCGTCTTCGACACGGGTCTTTGTTCCGTCTTGAATCCAGTAGCGAAAAAGTGAAATAAATGAAATTGTGAGAGGGCATAAATTGATTTCTTTTGTTTGCATAAAAGAATCTGATTGCGATACGTGAAATAAGCATGGATTATTATTAAGGATGTATAGGCTATATACTTAAACGATGCTAACATGTTGAATTTGTTAT